ACAAATGCGCTTTACACAATTGATGTGTGTATGGATTGGGATAACAGTTGTATGAGCCCCTAATAAAATGTTAAAAAAAATAAATAAATTTAGGGCCTTGTTTTCAGACTTCAGGAACGGTAAGTGGATCCCAATATTAAACCCTATAATTTTTTCTAAAATAAATTTGTATGTGAATATATAATTGCAAATTAATAAAGTAGGGTTTTATTGGTGTAGATTACTATTCATTTTACACTTATATATTTTTGTCATATAGATCTATGATTTTTAAATTTCCATGTGTAATTTTAGAAGTATGATAGAACATTATAGACCTAGAGTAACTTTTCTAATTTTTTTGGTAGCCCTTGAGTTTTAAGCTTATAAAACTGCCATGCTACTGGCTAACTTTTCTCTTCATCTTTTAGTAACAATAGATTAATGCAATTATGTTTGATCTCTGTATTTGAATCAAATATCCAGGACCTTGAAAAGTAAATGGGCTTAGATTACACTTTTAAGTTAAATTGAAACATTGTGAAAATTCTAATAATTTATATTCCTGAAGACAATTTTTAAAAAATGATACTTATAAATCTGAAATCATGTAAGAGCCCTGATGATGATATTCTCATTAAACTAATATCCTGGAAGTGAATGATTGTAGGAGCATATGCAAACAATTACCATCAAGGACAGAGAAAAGGAAACTATTTTTATTTACTAACATCTATCTCCTGTCTATATTTCATATAATTTAATCTTCACAGTATCATCTAAGATGTTGTTGGTTTTGGTCTGATGGTTTATTTTTTAATCATATCTGAAAAAGTAAAATTTAGAAAGGCTAAATGGCTTCCCCGTAGCCATACTAGTAAATGTCAAAGCTGGATTTTCCTACAAGGTCGTGTATTCTATTTGGGTAGAAAATATTGTATCTATGGCTAAAATGCAGCACAAGTGAAAAGTGATACAATATAAATTATATGGAGGTACCGTTTTATAGCTCAGCCACTATCATAAGAAAACAAATAAGATCCCTAATACTAGTTATTTAAATTTCAAATATAGCAAAAGCAAACACAACCTGAGCAATATATATGCTACTGTCAGTTTCACAAGGTACCTGAGAGGCACAAACGTTTTGGGATCAGCTGCTTCAATCAGCTGTGGTAGCTTCATCTCACCCAGTAACTGAGTACAGAAAGGGGCTGGTGAACTCCCTCCGTAAATGTAAGCATCGAGAAAACAATGTGGAACCGTTCTGCTCAGGAGCATATGAGGTCACCGTGAGTCTGGGATCTGTTCAATGGCAGGTCACAGTGGCAACACGGTGAAGAAGATGTGATTTTAGCCATTACAAGCATATTTTCCGTGAACATGTAAATTCTAAGCACAAAAAAAGTAGGTGCAGGGCAAATGCAGTTCAAAATATAAGCTAGTTTTTAAAGAATTTTTCTTGACAATACAGATGAAAATGTAGTTTTATGACCTTTTTTATAGCAAACAATGAGTGAGTAATGATTGGTTGATTGGCTCAGTTACATTTCTTTTGCAAGAGGCACCACTTTGTAAATGGAATGTTAGTGGTAAAAAATACTCATCGATAACATATGTTCCTATTTCAAAGTGATTTCCTATAAGCACACATAAACATATATATAGATTTATATTTAAGTTTGGTGATGTGATTAGGTGCAAGTTAGTATATTTCAACTCTTATGAATCATCTGGATAATAAAACAAAAGTTTCAATTATCCCATATGTATGTATGAATATAAATATATAGAAACATATAAAGGTATTTTTAAAATTTTAGACTACTGTCTATTTGGTCTTTATCTTTCTTATTTAACATTATACCACTTTAAATATAGTTATTTGGACTTCCAAGGCTGTCTTCTGCTTACTTTTCTTAATTTCACATCA